GAGAACTTGTCTGTCAAGGCTCTGTTGTCATTGATGACCCTTCGTCATTATCTTTGGTTTCCTCCCACCAGACTTTGAACTCTTTGAGGGCATTAATGTCTTTCAGTGCCCTCAAAACCAAGCAAGGTGCCTGATAGATGAGGCCACTGAGGAAAGAAATGGACATTTTCTTACGAAAAACGTATTTTCTCCTTCGAGAGCATTTTTTACCAGATGAAATAGTTTAAGAAAGCTCTGCAAACAGCTACCAACCTAACATCAACCGAATGAATTATTTTCTTTAGAAAGAAAGGACGAGTACCTAGACTCAGGTAAGGTAAAAGTTGAAAGGGTCCATAAGGATATGAGCTTTGCAGATGAAGTAACAGACTCAGATGACTTAAATGATTTACTCAGGTTCAGAGCAATTCAGTATCACACCCTTTTTAAACTTTTTCACTTACATATTTTGGACATTTTTCCATGTTAAACATTTTCCAGGTTAAGCACGTCTCCCTAGTATTCCACCTTATGAACATACATTGTATTTTCCCAAATCCCAATTGTTTAACATTTAGGTTACCCTTCTCCCAAGCAACTCATTTATGGGCTGCTTGATATTTTTTTTATGTACATTTATGTTCCTTTCTTTAAAATCAGTTCCAAAAAATGGAATTGCAGTGTCAAATGAAATAGATATTTCTAACACGTTGGTTAAAAAGTGCTAAGTTGCCCTCCAGAAATATTTTACCAGTTTATGCTCTCAATAGTAGTACATACGTGTGCCCTCCTCCTTAAATTCACCAATACTGTTTGTTGTCATTTTAAAAAATCACTTAATTTAGTGGACTACATTAACATTTAAATTGATAGATTGTTCTCTTGTTTCCCCAGCAGCGAGCATAATGCCCAGCACATACTAAGTGCTTAATAAACATTGTTGAATGAATAACGAAAGTTAATAATTCAATAAATGCTCATTTAATAGTTATGTATGCATTAACATTTTGAAAATTCTTTTCTACATGTCTCTATATCCACGTTTCACAAATATGTATATAAAGATATAATTTTTTTTTTCACAAGTAAGATTATACTAAACTTTTCTACTTAAAAAGTTATGGCTATCTTTTCATGTCCATAAGTAATGATCTATATTGTTTTCAACAGTTGCATAGTATTCTATTGTCTGGAAATACAATAATTTACTTAACTATGGATGAGCAATTAGATTATTCTCAAGTCTTTGCTATTATAAAAATACTATAATGAATATTCTTATATATATTGCATAGTACCAAAGACTGAAGTTCACACCTCTGTGTTTCTAGTACTCTTCTAGTAGAAATCTTTAAATTTGGAAATATTTATGGTAAAATTGAGGAATTGCTTGCTTTTTGATGTCACCATGTAGATATTTTCGGTTACCTCAATAGATCTACTTCACTTTTTATGGATTACATTAGCATGTTTTCTTCCTCGCTGTCTTCTGGTTGAGCTCAGCTGATGGAGGGCACTAGCAGGAGACCAGAAGGCAGTAAGAGCTAGAGATCAGTGTATTTATTACCCTCTCTCCCTCCATGTTGGCACCAGGCTGGCAGTGGTACTGCATCATCTCTTACTGTTTCCCTGCCCACATTCTGATTATACTCTCTTCAGTTCCCCCTTATGAGTGTGCCATCTGTTTCTTGTTGAGACACTGACCGAGACAATAATATTTCAAATTTATATAGGCTGTGGAAGGTATATAATACTTTTTTTTAATGTGAGAAAAACTTGTTATCTTGAAGTTTACTGTATATTAAACTTATAGGAACAATATCAGTAGATCTGAAACAGCTAGAAAATAGAATGTAAGATTATGATATATGTCCTTCCCTGTTTTCTACCTGCTCAAATATACAGGGAAAAAGTCAGTTTTCAATTGGTCTTATAATTTTTCCCAATTATAAAAGAAATACACATTTATTTAAATTTTTTTCAAATGTAGACAATATGGAAAATAATCTATCGTCTGCTAGGTAGAGAAAAATCACAGCTAAAATTTTAGTGATT